CACAAGCTTGGCTCATAATAGTCATCTGGGCACCTGCAGGGGCAGGGAAATAGCAGATAATAAAAACAGAATTCAGACTGTGGTTAAGACTTAATCATTAAACTTTCAGTTCCATATTGGGTCTCAAGCAATGTGTGGACACTTGATATTGCAGGGCGGGGTGGGGTAGGGTGGGGTGGTGGTAGACATTTTGTTGCAATGTGCTATTTAAAGGATACTTGAAAACTTTACCAACAAGAAAGCAAAATTACCTGGAAAGGCCCTCTCTCTGTGCCTATGAACGGACATGCTAGATTAAGCACTTTAGACTCAGCAGATTTTACTGAGCATCTCCAAACATGTTATCATCACGTTTACTTCAAATTCTCTGGTTTCCAGACTACTCTGGGTGTACTTTACAGTAAAGAAACAACTCTGACCTTTAGAATGCTGTGCACCTGTCTCTGCTTTTCGTCTTCCTAAAACATCGCTTTCTTCTGGGAACTTACTCATCTGCTCACAAACCCTTAATAGTTCCCACTCTTCTTTAGTTTCAAGTCACACAGCCACAGCTTCCGAGGCCACCTCATCCGGTGCCCGGTATTGACAGCCAGATGTCTATTCTGATTACTAAACCCAGGAAGGTGTCCTCGTCCACCCCCCCCAACCCCCACCCCCGGCACTTTGAGACAGCCACACACCTCCCATTGAGACAGGCTACACCCCACTTCCACCCTGTGTGCTAGCCTTGTCTGCATCTCCTATGTCAGCAGGCCCACCCAATGGCCCTTCTCTGCCAGTCTTTCCACTGTACTCCCTTGTCTCAGTAGACCAGCACACTTCCTGTTCATGTGGCATCTTTGGCACTTTAAGCCTGGCGGACACTGAAAGTTCCGGTCATGAGTCGAGCTAGATTGAAGAGGATCCAAAAAAATTAAGGAACAGGGAATTTGGGAAGTCTATTCTCCGGTTTCCTCTCCCCTCCCCAAGCCCATCCACAAAGGATAGCTGTAGATGTGGCCGGAGCAATGGACCCCAGGATATGAAAGCGCCTTACACCGCTTTCCTGCCTTTCTCGAGCCTCAGTTTGAAGGCCCCCTCCTCTGTCCACAGAGCCAGTTCAGGTTTAATGCCCTTTCTTTTGAGAAGCCACTCCTGAGGAGCACGCCCATCAGAGGGAAGGGCCAATAAATGCAGCATCGCGGTGCCAGGGGCTCGGATATGTTCACCTCTCCCACTGGTGAAGAGCCCGCTGAAGTCCACCCGAGCAAGTCTTGGCCCCAGGCACTCAGAGCCCCAAGGCTCTGCACATGGTACTCAATAAACATTTTTAAAAAATAATGAACAATCAGATTTACTTCTCCTAGAAAGTTTTCGGATGAACACAGGGGGGCAAGGTATTTTTTTAAGCCAGGGCCTTTTCTACTTTAGGAACTGAGCTGTGCAATCTTAGTCTTGAGTAGAGTACCAAGAATTAACAGGCACACGATTACTCCATCACAGCCCCAGGTTGTTATAAAGAAAAGGACCGTCATTAAGGGAAAGGGGCATCAAGAAGTAGAAGGGTTAACCAAATCAGCAGACCAAGAAACTGTGCCCTTACTTGGATGTTAAAGAGCAGCCAGGTTCACACCCCCTGTGCTCCTTACAGCTCCCTGGCTCAAAGAACCACAGCAGTTATCTATTTGAGCTATGCTTAACTACAGGCCCTTCTTAGAGTTCCTATCCTAAGCCTACCCACTCCCCAATTCATACAGAACAATCTCTTAAAAATCCACAATGCCAGATAAGGGGAATAAGGAGACACTACAAAATACCAAACAGGCTAGGAAATGATAGAAGATGTCCACCTATTACAAACAGGACAAGACTGACAGCTGAAGCGGTAATTGCCAGGCTTGTTAGTAGTCAGTCCTCAGGGCCATCGCTTACCTTAGCAGACACTGAGAGCTCCCCCCACCCCGGTAACAGGAGAATATGGGTGGGAGACAGAGACATTACCTGAGTCAACAAAGGCTTTCACAGGATGTCCATTCACTTTGCAGTTAATATAAAGCATCACTACTTGGCCAAAGCTCTCCGGAGCCTCTTCCATAGCTATTGTCATGTTTTCCTCAATATTCTGTTGCCTGTAACAAATGAAAACCCAGTACTAGCAGCATTGTTGCCACAAAGAATAATGTTTTAAAGTCACCAATGTTAAAAACAGATTTATCCATATTTTTGGCCCTAATTACAGCAGCTGAATTACAGAAATGCAAATTGGTGTTTGTTCTTCCCTGACCAAGTGGCTTAGTAGGAAATTAGCAAGACAAAACGTTGGTAGAAAATCTAAAGGCATAAAAATCATCCTCATATAACTATGTTCCCTTAACTATTGTAGCGTGTGTGTGGGAGGGGGGAGTTTGTTCCCTTTATGAGAGCAAAAACAGGCAAGTAAGATTTCTGGAGTGTCAAGGCCAGATGCCTTTTTACAATGTAGAATGTTATGATGTCCTGAACCCTCCAACTTCCGGTGCTGTGCTGGGTGCAACTGACCTAATGTCTTCCTCATGAGAGTAGGCCACTTGAGCCCATTGTTGCAGGCACTGTGCCACCGGGCAACAGTCTGTTCCCATCCACAGGGCTTTATTGGCTGCTTTTCACAGTGGGATAGCCAGGCTCTTTTTCCTACTCGGAAAGCCCTGTGGGAAGCGGTCCACCATTGGTGACCCTACTAGTATTTGAAATACTGTGGCAGCTTGCGTGTTGCTCTGACGGTGCAGAATGGCACCAGTATTTCAAATACCAGCAGGCTCATTTTCACTGCAGATTTATTGGGCATCTGGGTACACTGCCTATGTCCAGAGTGGTTACGAATAGTTTGCAAACATAATATAACAGAGTATTTAATAAGGTATTTAATAAACTCACGATGTGAAACCAACTCTAGTATACAGGTATGGTACATGGACCCCAATGTTAGACCTGAACACCAGCTCTACTACTTCCTGGCTATACGACCCTTTGTAAATTACTTAGGCTTTCTGGGCTTCATTTCCCCAGAGGTCTAAGGCACCTGGTACACAATGCTAACCTCAGAGCAGATACTCACAAAAGCACACATAAGAAATCATTTAGCAATCATCTACCCACAGCCACTCAGATCTCATGGTTCATTTGTCCAATAAATAACTTCTTCAGAAATTCAACATATTCTAATTTGTGCGTGACCAGAAATATACAAAAAGGGAGTTCTAGCTTACTCCAACATTTCATGGCTTATTCTTAAACTCCTTTAATTACCGATACCTCTAGAGATAAGATACTATCAACATTAATATGTGAACATGGAGACTACGGCAGGGCCAGGCACTTGCCTGAAAATATAGACAGTGACCAAACAGGGTCCAAGACACGAGGGACACTGTACTGTCAGCAAGACCAACCACAGGCCGTCACGCATTTGTCTACATAGAGTGTTAGCAGACAGAGTTAGGCTCCTGGTTATTATGTTGACGGCTGCTTTCACACTATAATAGCAGAGATGTGCACCGGCAACAGAGATCAAATGCCTGCAAGGCAAAAAATGTATTCAGTATCTTGGCCCTTTATGGACAAAGTTTACAATTGCTCCCCACTGTATTACCTGGTGGGTGTTTTCTGGCTTTTTGGGGTGTGTTTTTTTTAAAGCAACAACATCCTAGTTCTATTAAAATGATGGTTTCACTAGCATTTCTGAAATAAAATATTACACTTCTCAGAAAGAGGCATACTCGTGGACATTAGTCAGGCAAACATTCATTGAGATACCTCAGTGTATATCTGCCCTACATAATCACTGGTGTGCTGTACCAAATAAAACTTTGATGGGCACTTGATATAATTACCCAGTTTTCTTCCCATACCACAGGATGAAATTTAGAAACAACCTAAACTTAGCTGCCAAGTCCTGATCTTGCATTGACTCTGAGGATAGATTCATTAAAAAAAAAAATTTTTTTTAATCCTCTGAAACCCGTTACTTTCTGGGCTCTGTATGTAGGGTTTCTTCAGAGGCATCTGGTGTTTGCTTTTAAAAGAAGGGCCGTCTTTCCTCTACTCCTGAGCACCAGGAGCTGCACGGACATGCTGCA